ATCTACGCGCCGCTCCCGTTATCTCGCGGCGATCGAGGATACTTACTTCGAGGTAGCCTGAAAAAACGATCCCTACCTCGAGATCTTGCAACCTCGACCAATCACGCCCTCGCCCCCGAAACCTAACGCCACGGATAAATGTTTACCACCGAGATCCCGTGTTCTACAACCTGTACACACCCCTCACGTTAATCGGCCACCCCCTATTTTCCAAGATCACGTTCGTGATTGCGTTACGTTACGTTTCGGAAAAGTCGCCTTCTTCTTCTTCTTCTTCTTCTTCTTCCATCCGCAACTAGAAAAGGAGGAAGGAACCCGTCTAGACGAAATTTTCCCGACTATTTTCAACGACCGATCGTTTTCGAATCGATCGGGAAGAGATTCTTTCCTCTCGGGTGTTTGGCCGGCGCAAAGTTAAGTTTAAAGAAGGAGAGGAGAGGGATGAGAAATTTTTACGACGCAAAATTTGATTCTCTGTTCTGAAGAAATCTGCTCGAAGGGGAAAACATTGGCTGTGACAATGTGGAGGATAGTGTGCAGAGTCAAGGAAAATGCGATCGATTCGAAACCGTGAAACGAGGGGCGATTCCATGGAAATAGAGTTGCCGGTAGGCGAAGGAAGAAGGTTCGAGGAGGATTGGGAGAGAGAGAGAGAGGTTCAGGTAGATGCTAATGGGCGCCCATTGTTTTTTCTCCTCTGTTTTCCTCTGGACCTGCATTGTTCTTGCAACGTCCGGGGTCCTGGGCTGCTCATCAGTTAACATTGTCCGCGCATTAGATCGGCCTTGTTCGAAATTCGAGTTGCGGTCGCGCGACCTCCTCCATTCTGCGAAGAACGGCGAGGAGGAGAGCAGGAGGAGGAAGAAGAATAGACGAGAGGGGACAAAAGTGTGGAGAAACTCGGTGTAAACGAGCGTTTCGTGGTGGCGAATGCATCGAGAACCAGTGCTTAATACACGAGACTACGAGATACTTTCTTGTTTGTTACAAGCCTCCCTCTCTCTCTCTCTCTCTCGTCCTGTCTTGTGCTGCCCGGCCGACCCGAACGCGCAAAGCAAACAAGGGTTCCTTTTCATCGAAACGGGGAAACGTGGCGAACCTGTTAAACATCCCTTCGAATACCAGCCGATTCTTCCGCTTCTGGCAACCGATTGTTCCCGAATTGGGACGAAATTTTTGGTCAATGTCCAATTAACCTCTCTAACCTACCCTTTCGATAATGGCGTCCTCGTATATTAAATAAACAATTGCTGTCAACCAGCAAATTTTTCTTCTGCACGAAATGTAACGTTTTCATTTGACAGAAAAACAAAAATTGTTTTTTTTTTTTTTTGTTTTTTTGTATCACCTTCAAAAAGTTATATATATTAGTCAATGACTAAACTGTATTTTGGTGGGATAAAATCTTTTCGAATTTTTGGGGATATTTTACACAACAATGTAACGATATTGCTCATAGCAAAGCCATGATTTTTTTCTTCTTTCTTTCCAGGATTAAATAATTTTTGCTTTTAAGCGTCGATTGGAAAATAAGGGGAGAGCATCCTTTTCCAAGGAAGGAAATTTCAAGATTGTCGAATAAACGCGATCATCTTGCAGGGGTTGGATGGAGGTTTCCAAGATCGAAGAGGAACTCGCGAGGAGAGTAAATGGACGGTAGGAGTACGTGGTGGAGTACATTTTCGAGCTCGATGATTTATCATCCGAGGATGGATCGAGGATGGCTAGAAAAGTTGTGGTGGATCCGGCCATGGGGGCCTAGCCTCCATCCTCCAGTGAAGGAACGCGAAATAGAGAGAGAGAGAGAGAGAGAGGAGAGACGTCGAGAGGGAATCGAGCGAGTTGGTCGGGGCCCAACCCTCATTACCACGCCCCCAAACTTCCTAGTCATTATCTGGTGGTTCCAATAGCGAGATCGAATTTCATCACGGATTCCAGAACGGGCATTCCACCTTGATAATTAGTCTCTCTCTCCCCCCTCCCCTCCCCCACGAATGCCTCGCGCGCAATCTTTCCCTCCAATTCCTCGTTTCTCTTCTTTTTCCAGCGAATTTGGCGACTCGAATCGATCGAATCGAATCGGATCGATCGAGATCGAGAGATCGGAAGAATATTCGAACGAAAGAAATTCGGGAGGAATCGGCGATCGAACGGGGAGAGGGGGAGCAATGCAACCGCCAGCTTTCTTTCGTTTGTTTGTTTTTTGTTTTTTTTCGAGAGAAGAGAAGAAAGTGAAAACGAAACGGTACCGAAAGACGCGGGACAAAAGCGTCGGGAGGGGCGAAGCGAATAACTGGACGGTTCCACTTGGGGGCTGAATGTAAATAATTAAACAGGTCCGGCGAAAACAAATATATCGTTTCGCGCAGTGTGATAGATGATGTTGCTTATTCAGCGTCCCGGTTGAGGAGAAAGGTGTGGTGGACGGGGAGAAAGAGAAAGATGGCGGGGGCCGAAGGGATAGGAGAAGAAGAGGAGATGTTCGGGGTCTCGGTAGGCTTTTAGGACCGAGTTAGCTGGACCGAGGAGAGGGTTCAAGGGCGTGCTGGACGTTTCGAGGGAAGGATGGCGAGGCAATTAGGGGGCTCAGCAGGGTGCCAAAATCTTTGCCCTTTTCTTCTTCGTTCAACCTCCTCCTACGCCTCTGCGCTCCCGCTTCTCCATCTCTCTCCTCCCTTTTCGCATCCCTCCTCCGCCGTTCGCTCACTCCCTTTCTCTCCTGTTGCCTCTCCACTCTTTTTCTTTCTTCTCTTCTCTTTTAATTCCAATCGATCTCGATGCGTTTTTCTTTCTCGTTTCGTCCGAATCAGGAAAGGGCTCTCCTCCGCTCATCCCTCGATCCAACGGAAAACGCCCTTTCGTGTCTACACCCTGATATTAACGTAACGTATCGATGCCGTTAAAACGAGACCGCTAACGTTTTGGAATTCTTTTCAAATGTATTACATTCCAAACGTTGGAAATATTTCAACGGGTAGCGTCGTGTTCGGGAATTTTTAAACAACTGTTATCCGTCGTTAAGATTTTCGATACGATAATAAACTACTATTACCAATTTTACGTCGTCAAAATTACAAATTCCCTAACATTATACGTATTTATTATACCTGTTTCAATACCTGTAATCTTGACAACTTTTAATTGCAATTCAATCTACCGTGCGATACTAGCGCTCCTAACCATCTTTTCGACAAGTATTGTCAAAAGTCGATAAAACAGAATTTCAACGGTCACTACCATTGGCAATGTCAAGAGCTACTATACCTACGTAAGTAATACCGACATACACGAGTTTCAAGAGAAACAAAATGTTCTAAGATACCGACTTCAAAAGATAAATGTTACGTTTTCTAGTAGTTCTAGTTTGAAGCACCTAAAACACGATTTCCTCGATTGAAATGCTGAAAAGAAAAAAAGGACAAAAAAAAAAATAGCCAAGCTATCAAAATATAACCATCATCCATCGTTCAATGTATATCCGAATAAATTGTGAATGCAATATTTGTTCTACCACGCAACATTAATATACTAAGCGATATATATAAATATCGCAACACTAATTTTTAAAATTTGAATAAAAAAAAAATAAATATAAAATAATTTAAAAAAAAAAACGCGAGATTTGTTAAACGCAATTCTAATTAAACCCGTATTAATCGATCGCAACACTAATAAAAAATCGCAATGTTCACGATGATTAAATTCGATAGGCCAGCATGCAATTGACCAAAACAAAAATACTACGTATTACTAAAACGAGCACAGTGACAAAGTAATAACAATGGTTTCCCATTCTTTGGACCCGAAACAAGATCCAAAAGATGAGAAACCATTCGTTGCAGCCCTCTTCGCGACAATTTGTCGGGCCTCTTCGTTTTCTTTCTTCGGGCGCAATACCCGCTGAAACTTAAATCTAGGCTCGAGATTCGCTAATCGCAAAAAAAAAAAAAACTAAATCGCGAAAGCTTAGTGCGCATAGACGATCAACAATCGTAACGATATACATGCGCAGAATCTCGAGCACAACGTTCGTTTCGAAATATATTTCGCGATCGCGAAATTCGAAAAATCGATAAATAAAACCAGAAACAAATAATCATTGACAAATGATCATTCGTCTCAGCTTTACTCTCGATGTTTCAAATTATGTTTCCTGAAACAGATTGTCACGCGAAAACGCGCCTACCCGATCAGAGACTGTGACAATCTGCCCGGCCCTACCTACTTATAACTAAACAGACACACCAGAAGTATACTACCTATCCTACCTAGGCCTATATTTAAAAAATTGCAAAACAAACATACCAACACATTCACTCAACGGTCACTCACGCATAACAGCCGGGCGCAAAAAAAACCTACACTAGAGAGAGCGTCCCGGGACGCCTCCGACACCCGAGCTTTGGCACACTACTCGCACACTCTAAGTTTACGTACCATTTTCCTGAAATCGATTGACGATGGCTAGCGATCATTGCGTGATTCGTGATAAAATCTCATAAATTATCTCGATTTCAATTGTTCTCTTATTTATAATCGAAAGAATTGTATATGTCTTCCAAAGGATACCAAATTTTGATATCATCGTTATAATTTAAAGATAATAGTAAAATAAATAATAATTCGATTGATAATTACAAATGGAATGATAAAAACGACGCAATTCCACAACCTAACACACACACACATACACAATGTGGAAAATACGTCGTGCACGATACACTAGCAAATCGTCAATCGCTGAAAAATTATTATAAACTTATAAACTATGATCATCATGCCCCCATCGCCTTTCTCTCACTCAAGTAGCACCTGGGCACGTGAGAGAGATCTTGGCAATGGACATGGAAAGGATTAAACCTGAAAATCCTAAGCTAAAAAAGATATTAATGCATCTATTTTTTATCTAACGATCTAATATTCTTTAGTTATTTAATATTAAGTAATGAAAATTTTTTACAAAAAAGAATATAAATTTTTTAACGATAAATAAAATAAAATAATTGACATAAATTAAATATTAATAAAAATATCCTTAGACGATCCCTTAATCAAAGCATATATTTGAAAAAATATCTCAAAAATATCTTAAATTGGTTGCTTTGATTCCGAAATCTATCTATCGCGAAAAGTGTCTTCTTGCACTTAAGATTTATTGAATAAAAGGAATAAATTATAATAATAATTTTCAAGATAATAATATGATTTTAAAAATATTAATGTGTTATTATTACAAAATTATTAACATTCAAAAACGCGATGCACAAGAAGACCTATCCTGAACTAATAAATAAAATGCAGAAAAAATACAAAATGGTTATTACTCATGGATATAATATACCCGTGGTCACTGTGCTCGCACAAAAATCTACGTATACAACCAGTCACTCGTGTCGATTCGGATCTTTTATCCTACGACATGATTGAATGACCAGAGGAACAAAAATGCATGCGACTCACCATTAGATGAAAGGAGAACGTTGCCATCGATATTAGCATGGTCATTAAGAAGTCATTAAAATGTGTAAAATATCTGTAACAAAACATAGAATCATAATTGAAAATACAAGATTAATTATTTAAAAAAATTAGAATAAAGAAAAATTTCTAACAAAGATAAATATAATAATATAAAGATAATTACCTCTTCGTATGATGGATGATCGTTCTATTCTTTTTTCGAAACACTGAATCGAATATGTATGAAAACGAATATTTAAAAAAGAAAAAATAATAAAAGATTATTAACACGCCCGTTTAAATTATAATCGATGAACAAACACTGACTCTATTTTCGCGAAAAAGTATTATAATTCATTATTACGAAGCAAACACTAACTCTAACGATCGCATTGCGCGTGATCACAAAATATCAAATTTTATTGCGTCTCCATAGCGTCCATATTGGAATTTTTCCCGCCTTCAAAGTTACACTTGATCAGTTAATAACCTGTATAAAAAAATCAAAATTTTCAAATAAACATTCAAAAATGAATAGAATTCATAGATTATATTGAAATAAAACAACAATCAAGCACAAATTTCATTTTAAAAAGTCATAATATGAGCTACACTGTTGGTATGCTACAATTCTAACCGTCAAATAAACGAATAAAGAAAAAAAGAATAATTTAGCTATTAAAGAATTATCCAATTATAAAAAGAAATGCGTATTAAATAAATATATAAACGACAAAGATTAATCATGTATTTACCAATAAAATACATATTAGAGCACAAATAAACACATTTCAAGGAAAAATGACACGTCTAAACACTACAATTATCGAAACTATAATGAGACCTCGCGTCGCGATTTCGATTATCGAATTGAGAAGAGGGATATGCAGATCTCGATAATAATCAAATATATCGACAAATCGAAATATGTTGAGCATTGCACGATGCAAATACAATTTTCCAAAATTAATTATTAAACAATGTTTCTAATCGTTCGAGCATAACATAAACGAAAGAGAGATAAATATATAAACAAAACAAAAAGATATATTTAGAAACACGTATCGTAACATCGTAATTTAATTTTACGATGAAATAGTGATTGTGATTAAATAAATACTATATATTTGTTTTAATATGAATAAATAAACAATAAATCTATTCTAAATACATCTACTATTATGTGAAAAAAAATAAAATATTACCTGATATACAGAAAAATCATCGATTATATCGTAATCGATAAATCGTAATACTTCTTCGACGTCAACTCGGCAATCAAACGATAATATCTGAACAAAATAAAAATCAGAACAATGAAACAAATGAAAAAAAATGTAAAAAGTTAATCAATAACTAAACTGAAATTCTGATTGAAAGACAATACCGGTAACCTCACAATCAAATAAATGATCGAAGACAAAGACACAAAGTAATTTCAATGTTACAACGTCTAACAGATTATTAAATAAACGAAACTAATAGTAATCTATGAATTTGATAATAATATACGAATAAAATTAACTTACTACGCAGTCGAGGTTACGCAAATTCAGCCGGCGATACATCCTGTCGCGATGATTTTCGAGAGAAGAATGACGCCACACGCCACAGATTCGCCTAGGACGTTTCTAATTGGTTGACAAACAATATATTTAAACGTTAAATTTTCGATTTTATTTCGATATTAAAATTCATATTTACGATTCTAATAAAATAAGAATAGAATATTCCGATAAAATATGAAAATAAAATTTTTAAAATATATCAAATTTTGAAATATTTAAAATGAAAATATAAAAAATATGAAATGTCGAATCAATATCGAAAAATTAACTAAAAATGTAAAATTAAAATTGGAATAGAACGAAAATTGAATGAAAAATAATAATAAAAATAAGAATTAAAATCGAAACTTATAATTATCGTATACAATAATTCTTAAATTACGAAATAAATAATGAAACGAAATATATATTTCTTATAAATAAAAATTAAAATTCGTGATCATTATACTTATTATATTATATTTAAGAAATAAATTAATCATTCGTGTTAAAAAACATGTGATTACCATTGATAGGTAACACAATGGCACAATAACACAATGACACATAAGTTTTTTTTATATAATAATAAAATGTATCAATACTTACGAATAAAATTTGCAAAATTTTCATTGTCAGACTAGCGAATAAATGTTTAAACGCGAAAATTCACACACAATTTTAAATTATATATGGAATCGAAATTATATACGTGTAGTCGGTACGACGTTCGAAGCAAAACTAACTTAACCTTTCCTCGATCGATAAACAATTCGGTAGGCAAAATCAAATGTCGCAGATATAAATAAAATTGTATCGATTAAATTTTCAAATTTAAACGATAAGATAATTTTAGATTTTAGATTTTATTAAACAATAAAATTTTTAATGCAAATTTGGAAATATTTTACATATAATTATATATATATGTATATACATAATGGGAAATAGTAAATGTAAACAGAATAATAGAATCACAATTAATTATAAATCGATAATTTTACAATCTTTATTTTTTTCCTAAACAAATTTAAACTTTAATCTTTTTTCAAGAAAAAAGAAAATAAATACAGAAATACAATATTTATGAATAAAAATTATCTTAACTATTATATATTGATTAAAAAACGATATTACTATACGTACTATATAAAGTTACATCGATATATCTAGGTATAAGAAAAACTCTTTCTCTTTACGTTTCCTTGGCAACGGTTGTACACAAGTAAATTGCCTTTGAATTCACTCTGAATTTGTGATCAATCTAGACTAAAGATCTCGGCATTGAATTTTTTGTGAAGAAAAAAAAAAAAGCTGTTTTAATGCAATAATAACTTGCTGAAACAAAACTACGGAAAAAAGAGAATGGCTGTCAGAACGGATACGTGTCGAATGTGTAATCGTGGAGTTCAATCTTACAAAATACCGGTCGGAGATGGCGATAAAAAGGAGACATACACATTCGTCAAGAGTCCAAGAGCAATTTTGCATATTCAAAAAAAATATAGGAATCCACCCATGTAAGTTCTCAAAAAAAAAAAAAAAAACCTACGTATTTGTAAAAAAACCTATAAGAATTAATTAGAAAAATCATTAGTTGAAAAATCATGGACAAGCGTGAAAAAAAAATAAAATTCTTTTCCTTTATTATTTCATTAAATTAGATTTTTCAATTTCGTTCCATTCCCGCGGAAATTTTTTCCAATCTTCATCGTTCACTAAAACTAAAACTTATGAAATCTTTATGCCATTACAAACTTCGTACCGCACGATTGCCTATATATTCACCCGTTATTATAGCTGACTGTTACGTTTCGTCAATCAATTTTAAACCTCACGCCTCACGCTTTCGACTGAGCTTGAGAAACTTAACTTATATATACTTTTAACGGCACGGATTTATACATAATTCAAGAGAAACAACCTGGGTAACTAACTTTTACGCTCAAAGACTGTATGGAATTTTTGCAGCACGTTAATAATTTTCATCACGAGAGAAAAAAAAAAAACGACGCAGAGACATTTTGTGCACAGGATTTTTCCTCGAGGATGGCCGCGTTATAAAAAAAAAAAGGAGCAAGCGGTCAAGCACTCTTGCAGTATCGTAAAACAGAGTTGGAATGGAATTGCAACGCAATCGATCCTGCGAAACGTGTCGGCGGAAAGAGAGGAAGCTTGAATTCTAAATTCTGGAGCGTCCGTTTCGAAACGGATGCGATGATAAAGCGGGGCGAGGACAAGGCGACCTCACCTTGAACAGGGTTCGCGGAAGAGGTTGAGGACAAATTCTGCTCTTGCAATTGAATCGAGCACACCACGAGCGTAAGCATAATAGACGTGGTCATAGTTACCACCGATTTCGTGCCCCTTTAACATGACTTAGGCATGCGCAAAGTTCACGGTGGTCAGCGTTATTGAGTGGCCGCCGAGTAAAAATATATGTGTAGCACGTCTGCGGCATATGTCGGTCGATTCTAAGGACATTGTCCAGTCTGTGAACTCGCTCGCGCGATAGCCCTGTTGGCAATACCGCTCTCTCTTCCACTTTCGAAGAAGTGGAAAGGCGCGAAGTAAAATCGGTGAAATTGGAAAATGATAAATTCGGAATCGTGAAAGAATCATGCCGGCGGGGATTTCAGCGTTGGCGCCAACCGCCAACGGGGATCCGTTCGGCCTCGAGGGTGGAAAGGCCGCGTTCACGATCCTTCAGAAGGACGGGTTGGATACGAATCTGCCTCTCGTGGACGAGAGCGAGGACGAGACGAGGCGGAGATCGGATCCTGAGAGGAAGGCGAGGAGCGATCCGACGTTCGACCATCGAAGGCGAATCAGCAGATCGAACGATCATTTGGCCCGATCGAGGCTGCAACCGAATCCGTTGAGAAGGGAGTCGCGAAGCAGGAGTCAGGACAGTTGCCGTTCGGTGCCTGCTATCAAGCCCAGCATGACGCTGTCCACGGAGGATTTCACCGAGGTTCTGAACGCCAAGTTGAAGAAACTCGAGGAGCAGGAGAGGGAGAGGGAGGAGGAGCGCAAGGGCGCGAGGAAAGGTGAGGGGTTTCGCAGAAAGCCGTTCATCACCACGGTGAAGACTGGTGAGTTTCTGATGCCGCCTCCGGAAGTGGCTGCCCTCCTCGGTATCGCGTCGAACGACGAGGACACCGACAACTGCCCCCTGCGCTCCAAATTCAAATCGCTCGCCTCGCTTGCGAGGAAGCCGGAAGTCCGTCATAGCAGCCACATAGCCAGGTGTCCGACTGCCCTCAAGGCCACTGTCGACTTCACCCTCGGAATGATGAACGCGACGACCATGGCCGCCGCCTCCACGACCTTGGACGATCGAACGTCCAAGATCGCCAAGAGGAACGAGGCGACGTAAGTTTGTCCACCGGCGTTGGAAATCGACAATAAAAATACTTGACCGATTGACGCTCATGGATAATTAATCGACGCTTGTTCATGATTCCTTTCAACTTGTACATAACTATGATAATAAAAATATATATAAAACGATATAACTTCTTTACAGCGACCAACGAATCCCTTTCGGGAATATCATGTTCGATCGTCGCGTTGTTCGTGGAAGCACTTTCGCCGCCGCTCCCGTTCTTGTAAGATTCTTTCGAAATTGAAAGTCCGTTTGTTCATGAGGAATAAAATCGTCTCTATTTGTCTCAGATCGATGGCGAACGATCGATAGCCGCCAGGCAAGCGGAAGCCAGAAGGAGAAATTTGGCGAGGAAACGGGCCCAGGCATTGGCCACGAAAAGTTTGGTGGCCAGAGCCGGTTCGCCACCCCCTGTTCCCGGCCGAAAACACGAGCCGGTGCAAACGGAGATATACCTCGAGGAGGTGGCTATCCCTCAATATTTCCTCCTTTCTTTTTTTTTTTTTTTAATTCTCGTATCAACTCGGTACTTGTGATTGAAATTACAGCTGTTCGAGAAACCGGACGAGGTCGAAGTTGCGACGCAAACCGATTATTTCTTGGACAAGCCGTTGACGCCGAAATATTGTCCGCAAAAGATTGGAGAAGACGTTTCCACCCAAATAGAGCCCGGTGACGTAAGCTCTTTCTTCAAATTTCTTTCTTCGTTGCACGGGAAGATTGGAGGATACGATATTTTTTCTTTCTCTAGCTATTCGACTTCGACTTCGAGGTGCAACCGATACTGGAGACGCTGGTTGGAAAAACGATAGAGCAGGCGTTGATGGAGGTTCTCGAGGAGGAAGAAATTGCCGCTTTGAAGGAGCAGCAAAGAAAGTTCTTGGAGTTGCGGGCCGCGGAAAAGGCGGAAACGCGAAGATTGGAGGAGCAGGAGAGAAGGCTGAGAGAGGAGAAGGTTGGATTAAAAATTTGGCGCCTCTCGATGTTTCCAACGGAATTGGAGAATAACATTTTTTTGACAGGATCAACGATTGAAACAATACGAAGACTCGATGATCGCTCAAAGGGAGACGGAGGAACGAATTGCAGCAGCTACCCTGTTAACGGGATACATAGCCGAACTTCTTCCAGCTGTTCTAGAAGGATTGAAAATGTCCGGTTTTCTATTGGACGAGATCAAGGCTGGTTCGTGAGCACGCAAGAACACTGCTACTTTTTGTGAATTAGTTAATCTGAAAGGTTTATTAATTTTTCGTTACTTACGCCCTTTTACCTCGTTAACTCGATAATTCGAAAGAAACCGTTATTATATACCCTTTACGTGTATATATATATATATATGTGTGTGTGTGTCTTCGTTTTTCAATGTCGATCAATCGAATTAAATCCGATTAAGAAAACCTGCGATATTCGTTTTTCTCAGATGTCGAGGACGGTTTCATGCCTTGGTTGATGAGGGAGGTTAAGAAAGAGATAGGGCACATGGTTGAGAGCAGAGAGGTACTTATGGGTAAATATCCTTAATCCTTTAAATTATTCGCGGAAAAGGAGGAAAGTGAACACGTAATACGACAGAAGAAGAATGAAAGATGATTTCTTCACTCTTCTTACCTTCTTCCTGTTCTTCGAGATTTATGCGAACGAACAATGAAACATTTAATCCTAATCGCAATCCCTTTCGAAAATTGAATAGAAAGGAAGAAAAAGGGTTCACGAACGAACAACAATCGTAAGCCGAGCGAACGAATAGATACGAATCCATAAATAATATTTCTCGCGAACCGTTGCCGCATAATAATAAATCCTTGCTGTGAATTTTCCCCGCAACACGCCCGTTTATCCTATATTTTCAGAGATAATCAGGGAAATTTTGGAGAATCGGGCGGAAACGTACAAAAAGCTTGGCGAGGAATACGATGCGTCTAGGAAAAAACCGGTGACGGATACTTTAGAGGACGGAGGGATCGATCCAAACTTCATTAATTACGAGCCGCTTGTCATCGAGGGACAGGACGTTTAGCCAGCCAAATTATTCGGCCTTGTACGTTGAAAATTGAGAGAAGAAAGGGGAAAACAATTTTTATCACAGGTTTATCAACGACATCACTGATCAAATCGTCGCCTCGTCGAATTTTTTTTTTTCTTTTCCGTTCTCCTCCTATTTTTTTCACCTCTCGGTTTACCGAAGCTTTTCGATTCTCGTTGATCTACGAAAGGAGAAACGAGCGTATCATAGTTAGCTTTCGGATTTAGGGACACCTTCACCAGCACCCAGCCAATCCCTATCCCAGTGGCTTCTACATTAAGCAGTGTACACAGCTGCGAAACAAATCCATCTCCTCCGGTTGCGCCCCGTGACAGGTCGCCACCGCCGCGTTTTCGATCCCCATAGCAAACATCGACCACCACCGCCGCACAAAAATTCATTAAAAATTAATCATCCGTTTCCTAACGATTCGTTCTAAAATAAAAACTTGTTCTTCAGGTTCATCCCGGGCGAAGAAGAAGAAGGGAGATTGATCGATTGAAAATTTAAGGAAGAACTTAAGAGAGAGGCGCGAAAGATTTGTAATAATTAATAACTGATAATTTCACGAGAAAAATAATTCAAATTGATGCAAATAAACGAAACGTTTAATATCTATGAGTGAGTGTTCTTTTTAATTATCTCTCTCTCTCTCTCTCCTTTTTCTTTTTTTTTTTTGTCAGTTCAACAATCTTCTCTCGCACAATTTGTGAGAACGAAGTGGTATAGATTTTTATCTCTTACACAGCTGTAGAGACAAACGTTAAGTCGAAAATACGAAGGTCGCTAAAACGATCGGGCGTAATTTCACTTCTCCTCCCGTCTGTTGTTCCGGATTACAAAGCCAAACAGGGAAGAATTCGAATAAACTTGCTTCCTCCTCGTATGTGTGCATTGAGCTCGAATCTTTAACATTTGGAAAAATTTGTTAATGAAATTTAGAAAGATGTTGAAAAGACGAAAAAAAAAAAGAAAAATTATAAAATCGAGTTACAATATATAGAGGTAATTATGCAAAAATTCTTCGAACAGTGAATAATAGAATGGTAAAAATAAAAGGAGAAATTCTAAAGTGTCCGTTATTATTATGAATAACGTTTCTAAGCAAAGAAAGATAAGGCTGACAATTATGACTGGCGCCACTAAGCACCTGTACCGTACAATTTCCTTACAGTTCTTAAATTTACAATCGGATCCTTGCTTACCTGCTTTTCGAAAAAAAAGACAGAGAATAAGGATGAAAATTCCTCACACGAAAATCTCGTCGTTATAATTTATACCATATTGCATTCATCCTCGTTGGAGAAGGATTAATTCATTCCTCGTTCGAGGAGAGAAGGAGAAACAAAGAAACGGAAAAATGGAATTAATAAAAAAAAGGATTTCGAATCGAAATCCTCCTCTTCGAAACGAGAGATAAGATTTCGTCGGTACACCGCGAGGGTAAAAAAAAAACCTGTCGGGCTCGATCAGGATTAGATCGATAATAATAGGATGAGGTTTCACGGTGAATTGAGATCGGCACAGTTTTAAAAAGCCACCCACCCTCTTAAACCGCGCACCCCTTTCCGAACCATGAACGACAAGGTGAGGAGGGGAGGCCATATTGTATTGGATTAAATTAAGCGGAGTGTGGAGGGGGATCGTCTAGATCGCTGTGCGATTATATGCACAAAACTTGTGTGCCAAGTGAATCGTGTTTTTTAGGGAGATTCGAGAAGGGAGTACCGCGATGGGCCCTGATCATCACAGGGGATTCTGCGTTATTCCACCATGTGACCCGTGCCACCTGCATTTTTATGCAATTTTCCTCTTCGAACTCGTTGCGAGGAACACCTTCCTTGCGTACACGTTTGCGAATCGATCGACCATTTCCCTCGATGATAATCGTTCAAGCCACGTGTAGCTTACTCTTTCAAAATTCTTCAACGAATGAATCGCTATTATTATGTGTTGTTCGATTTATATGAGAACAAGAATCATTGGAAAAATATAATTTTCGGGCAAAGAGACGTTGATTAATAAATTGTACGAGTTTTTACGGATATTACGATCCTATTTGCCTACTGATCGACGAACCATTGACGACGAATCGACTTTTAAAATCGAGTAAACAATACCTAATGGCGTGTAATGGTTAAACAAGAGCTCGAAGGGTGAAGTATCGTGTGTAATTGTGTTGTTACGGGATATTTGACCGGCACGTGTCGCGTTACAGAAATATCGAGTGGGAGAGAGACAATATGTTGACGACACGTGACCGAGGCACGTGATGTTTTAAGATACCGAAGCGACATCTTCGACACCTTGCTTGCACATTCATAATTATAGATTCTTCGCAACTTCGCACGGGTAATCGTCCATTCGTAACCTCGCGAAATATCGAGAATACAGTCGAGCATACGCGTAGGAAGATACTCGTTCGAAGCGTACTTTTGACACTTGCCCAACCGAGACGAATCACCTTTACGATCACCTCCCCGCAAAGCCAACCATAACTCAGCCTTCGCCCCCCGCAACTATCGAACATGGTTAGGTTATAGAATCTCGTAAAAGGGCGGCGAACAATAAGATTTGTTACGTGTCTCTCTACGTGTCCGGAAGGGGTGCGCACATTTTCTGTCCCAGCTAGATCTAAAAGCGAAAGCGTTAAAATTTATGCATAAACACTTGCCGCCTTACAACGATTGAACAGATACAGAAAGTTTTCGAGGAAGCAAAATCGAGGAGCAAGCGTTTATTTATTTTTCAACGAGAATTCAACGGGGGAGAAAGAAATCCGTGGAAGAAGAATAACCGTTGAGATCGAATTCGTTCGATCCACTTCGAGGTTTATCGAAGAATTGAATCGCGAAACAAGATGTTGTTCGTTCGCAGAGCAAAGATTGCGGGGCGCGCACAAGCCGAGCAGGGTGTTCCTCGCAGGCTTATTTTGAGCATCGGCAGGGGAGGCAGGCGATAATACGTAGATGATAATCGCGATATTAATATCGCATTGGGAAGCGCGCACATGCGTGCAAGGGCCCATTGGTCACGGAGGAACACTTGCTAGCTGCCTGCCTCGCGGTTCTTTCAATGCACCCTGATTTTAGAAAGAGACAACCAGAGGGTGGGGCCCACCCTCCGAATCGGAGCGTAAAGGAAAACTGAAATTTATCCTAAGAGATAGAAGCGAGGAGAGACGAACAACGAAAAGACAGATTGTTCTCTACGATTTATTCTTTTTTTTTTTTTTTTTAATATCTTTCCTTGTTTCAAAAGAATATATATATATATATATATATTGCATCGTACGCGTAAGAGTGGCTTGACAATTAACAAAACGAACAATATATAATAATAGGATTTGTTTGAAATTGGAAGAGATAAACGAAATATATATATATATCGAAAAAGACACTTGCTGCAATTTCGGTATAGAAAAGAGTAAAGGAGAGATAGCAGAGAACACTCGTGCTCGAGTTTCGAGGGACCAGGAGTGGGCTTGGTACAAGGGGTGGTGCAGCTTGTGAACACTCGTGTCATTCCCTGGTCCGGCACCATTCACCCTAGATGAATCACTTCACCCACAGAGAAGATCCACCCACGGAAGAAAGTGTCGCGTGCCCCTCCTCCCCTTTTCCGCATCATCTTTTCCACAATTATCTATGTATCGTAAAATTAAATAATAAAATTCGTTTTATCGAGTTCGAGTTAAATGTGAAGATGTGAGAATAATGAGAATAAAATGGGAACTTTTTGGCCAACTTTCTCCCCCAAAGTTTGTATGCACGCTTAATCTTAAAATCCATCAAAAGGAGAAACCCTGGAAACGCTATCTCGAAAGTTTATCGCGGGCGTCCAACTTTACTTGAAATTAAATCGCCGTAACGACGCTGAAAGTCCCTCGGAAGGCAGAATTAGATAAGGATCTGGTGTGTATTAACTCGCAATTGGAAAACCCGATATCGGTATTCCGGGAATTAGTACTAGACATACCTGTAGAAGACGTACTAGCTACGCAATTTGCCAATACGGGCAATACCAGGGATTAAGCGGCTCGTTAAGGTTATCCGTGCCAGGTTAAATGTCCGAAGAACGGCGCATCGTGCATCGTGTCACGTGTATTCGCGTACCTGCGTGCGTGCACGAGGGGAGCGGAGCGGGAAAAGGAAACGGGATGGGAAGAAAAACTCGGGGACGATCGTTTATCTTGGACGGATGAATTATCTTCGACATCGATAAGATGAAAATCGGGAAATGGCGGGGAGAGAATCGAGGAGATCGGATCGAACGATTAAGCAAATCCAAGCGGTATCGTTCGATCGTTCGATCCACGCACGCGTGCGTGCGAGAAGAATGAGCCACTTAATTTCCTAATCAACCGTTGATTCAGATGCACCTTTCAGCGGCAGGAGGAACCCCCCTCCTCCCTCCCTATCATCGAGAACTGCGTTGGTTTGCAGCTGAGCCAAACAATGTCCTTTCACATGAGGCTTTTATAGCCCCATCAAACACCCAGTCACCGTCACCGGACTCCTGGTGGACGGCTACGCGACCTGTACATCGACGCGTCACGTGGTCGGTCGTGTAATCAGGACCACGGCCAAAAATTATGCTGGAAAGGGAGAAAGTAATTGTTGAAGAACGAAAAGGGAGATGCATGCATTCGAAATTTGAATGCACGTGGAACTTTATTCAAGGACGGATTGTAAAAGAGAAAGGAATATAGTCTTAGAGATTAAAGCGATAAGATAAAGGAGAAGAAGAAGAAGAAGAAGAAGAAATCCTTTAAAACAATTTTTCGGAGTTAAGAAAAATTATCCTTGGCGCACAAGTGCGGAATAACTGTATCTTTTGACAAATATTCAATCGTGGCATTGCGATGTGGTGGGTTCGTAAATTATAAAGGGTACGCACGTACTCTGTGGATATAATGTTACCTAAATCTCAATGGGTCGGAGAATCCGGCGCCAGTAATTATTTTCCAAGTAACCAAGAGACGGCTAATACCGTCGAACGACAAATACCATTTACGATTCAATCCCTAAACGATACTTGCCACGGTCACGCTTCCCCGACTTCTTCCTTGTACCTGCAGCAACAAGTTCAATTAGTAGCACCTTCGGCACTTCGACAATCCATTATACCGAGTCCAGATCGAGACTATGGGTAAATTATGGGCAAAGGTAATAAAGTAATTCACCGTGTGCACCGTTCCGGAACGATGATTTTTAACTAAAGGCACTGTCCGCCATAGCTAAATCACCATCTCCATCTACGTACAAATTATGAAAATGAAGGTATTAATTTTTGGAAATATATATTGGAATTTTCTACATCTTTATTGTCTCGTTTGAATCTCTTTTGAATTTGTTTAAATTTATTATATAACCCGAGCTATTGACAATTTTTGAATTAATCAATTAATTAATTAATTTTTATAAACAAAAATATAAAACGTACTAATTTTATTAGGCTAGAAGTATGCGAGTTAAAGTTTATATAAACAATTAAATGTTTTTTATTATACAAAAATTATTAATAATGTAAAAATGTCAGTCGCGAAGTTTAAAGTTTATCAATATTATTAAACTAAATTATTGATCGATCTGTATAAATTATGAGAATTAAGCTATGTAAAAAATAGATTGATTAAAACCTTTCACGTTTTATTTATTATAAATTTCTTTTGATTTTGTTTATACTTATTCAACATAATAATAATAAATAATTATTTATTAACAATATTAGAAAATCAATTTATTTTATATATAAAAATAAATAATGATTATTACCGAATAGGAAAAATATGCAATATGTAAAAATTAAATTTTCAATTAACAAAAATTAACGTAAAATTTTTTTCAATCACAAGTTTAAACTTTATAAAATATACAGAATTCTATATTATAAATTTTCTCGTATATTTATAAACAATTAAAAGATTTCATAAAACTTTTCATTATCGTAAGTAAATATAAATTACAAATGATGTTAAAAGCATCGTCTTACAACAATTAGAATTAAGAAAAAAAAACTTTTTAATTTCTCAAAAATATTCAAATATTTTTAAACTCGCCTAATTTTTTTTTCATTCTGTTGCAAACACACTCCATTGCAATAAATCATAGATATCGTTCCATTTATTAATTTATTTTATTCCAATTTATCTCATCGTTTCCATCAACGATATTACATTACAAAAATACATTTAAAAATACGTATGACGATTCGCAATTTAATCGAGCAAATATTATACAAAAAAACCCATAAATTTTCTTATAAATTAGCAAATAAGTTTCATTAATTTTAGATTTTTTTCCTAGATTTTCTTGTGTGTGTGTGTGTGTGTAGATGTGCGCGATTTCGGTGGAAAATCAAAGATCCACGGAAAAAGTCATCCCTTCCAAAAATTCCTCCGACTAATCATAGTTAACCTTAACCACACCCCTAATGATTGGTAACGCGTCATGATTCGCGAACGGCGAGCAAGGGGGCCGATTTACCCTTGTCTCTTTAAATACAATTACGCATACACTGGCTAGAAAGAGTGGAGCGTATCAGTGGAGGGGAGTATCTAACCCCCTGGCCAATTTGGGGCACGGAGTCTGCCGAATATATTTAAGCCACGTGCGGAATACAGATTCAATTTAGTTGACACTTTGACATAGCGTTCTTCTCATCCAAAGTTATCTTACGTGCCAATTATTTCATTATCGAATATATCTTCTTCTCGCAAGTGGATATTTGTCATATTTGTCGGCATCCACGGTTCATTTTCTGAGAGTGAAGTAAAAATATCCCTTGGGCGTTCGTTCGTAATTTTTTCGATACATAAACAATACAAATAACAAAAGAAGAAGGAAGAAGAAATTGTTGTTTGTAAAAATTGAAAAAGAAAAAAAAAAGGAGAAGAAGAAGACGGTGCAGAGTAAAATTTGCACGCCGTATTTAAAAAGAGAAATAGTTGAACTTTTTTAAGTTAGGATAAAAATGGAATCGACCAGTGCGATCATGTATCCTATTATCAGCGAAAGCGCTTTAATGATGAATATTGAGGCATTCGAGAAGACATCCTTGTCCCAAGGATGCTTAGACAGGCCCACAGTTAGAGCTGCTGGATTCCTTAGAAGGGATTCATCGACGGAGATCATCGATCTAAACAAATTAGCCCAGAAGAGTACGTCCGTGATTCAATACGTAAGTATAAAATATATATATATATCGCCTTTGAAAATCATATTTTTAAAGTTAAAAAGAAACTTAAAAGAAAAAAATTTCCTCGATCGTTGAAGGTTGAAGTTATCGATGCCGAGGGCCGTTTGTACTGCGTGGATGATCTCGTGAGCACTTCTTGCTGGTTAAAAATCATTAAATTCGCAAACGACTGTCAAAGTTGCAATGTTCTTCTAATGATCAATGACAATGGTATAGTGTTGAAAACGATAAGGAATGTAGCTCCTGGCGAACCTTTGCTTATGTGGTTTACAGAGAATATTTTAGCGATGCTGAGTATCCCTTTCTTAACCCCCTCCAACATCCAAGGTAAACATTTAAGTAATAATAAAAAAAAAAAGAAGCACATTAGAAAAATTGCTTGCTTCGAGAAATCAATTCAAATTGAAATTCAAGTTTTTAACTAAGTACACGTTTATGATTTCAGGCAAGAATCGCTACATCTGTCACATATGCAACAAGCTGTTCGAATATCCCAATCCTTTGAAAATTCACCTGGCCCTAAAGTGCAATCGACTGGACACTAATCATCTATGGTCTGTTCTGACGAAAGAGTTTGCCTTATCGTCGAGGCCGAGCTTGTCTCTCAGCTTGTTTCCTCAGTCGACTTTCAGATTCAAGCTAACAAGATCGCCCGAACCCTCGTCCACCGGAATATCGCCAATCTTAGTAGAGACTATGGATAATAATGTTATCCCTCCTAATAACAATTCATCTGAATCGTCAGAACAACCTTCTCCGTCATCCTCGAATCCGTTTTCCCCAAGTTCCGTGCAAATTTCTCCCAAAGACCCGTCGATCCGAGTCTCTCCCACGGGCAAAGATATATTGCCATATCGTCAATCTGCGTTCAAACCATACACAAATCAGAGCAACATGTTCGCAAATGTGTGCCCCTTATCGAGAACCGATACCGTTTTAACGTCGTACAACGTTCAAACGAGCACCGCGTCGATCAGCACCGATGTTCACGCGGCGCAAATGGAGACGATAGTTAGCAATCTTGGGAAATCAAAGCAAGGGCATCTTTGTATTTATTGTGGAAAAGTTTACTCAAGAAAATACGGTCTAAAAATTCACATTAGGTAAGAGTTTTTAAACTTTTTTTTTTTTCCATCTTATTATTTAATCAACGAAATGAAATTATACGTTGATTAATAAGAATGACACATGAATGCTCTACTCTTATTGTCGAACGAATAATTTTTAATTGTCGTAAAATATTTTTCGAAAAATTCAAAAATTTAGTAAAAAGTTCGCGAAAGGAAGAGATAAAATAAATTTTTTTCATCTTTTTCGTTTACAGAACTCATACCGGTTATAAACCATTAAAGTGCAAATATTGTTTGCGACCTTTTGGAGATCCTAGCAATTTGAATAAACATGTTCGATTGCATGCAGACGGTGAGACACCTTATAGATGTGATTTATGCGGAAAAGTTTTAGTTAGACGACGAGATCTTGAGAGACATTTAAAATCGAGACATCAAGAAAATCAGGAGCAGACTTCGGATACCTCGTCCGATGGAGTTGACGTTTAACAGACAAATGCTATATATTTTGTGAGACAGTAACTATTACTTCGCTTAGTTTACATCGGCGAACAAAACTGTCTTCGATATTAAAAACAATTAGTTCATATTAGTAAACAAAGTCATCTGTGAAGTTGAATCTTGTAAATCTTGTAAATTTTGTAAATTGGGACATGTTTATATAGTGAGCGCTTTTGTGATCAAAATGTCAATTATTTTTATAAAATGTTTGAAATATGATTGTAAATATTTAATTAGAATAAGAAAAGTAATTAGTGAGAAAAGATATTAATATTTAAAAATATTTAAACAAACATCGTTAAATGTTTTGTTTAATAGAAAAGTTTTCGTTCACTTCTTGTAAAATTTGTAAATATAAATTCTTTATGATATATGTACAAGTATATGTATATTATAAAAAGAAAGAACGAAAATGTTGCATATTATTGGTTAGCTTTATTATTAGTTTTATAGTTATGAATTTTGTAATCAATTTTTATAATAGATGAAAATTATACATGAACTACATGAAAATTCTAATAAAAATACATATTTTTTAATATTGAAACATTATTAAACATATTTTTAATATTAAAACTATTGTTAATTTAATATATAATTAAAATATTAAAATAAAATTGTTATTTTATATTCATTGATAATACTTATTGAATATCTATTATCTTCTAATATTACGATTTTATTAAAAATATAAATTGTTAAATTTTTAATTGGTCTTACTTTATTTCAATAATTAATAAAAACTAAATAATTAAAATAATTACTTATATAAATTTCAATAATTATAAATTAAATTGATATATTGTACAATACAAATATTACAGATCAATATATGTATATTTAAAAATATTCAAATATTTAACCTCATCACATAGTGAAAAATTATAATTTTTTATGCATAAATTAAAAAATTAATTAATTAATTGATATGAAATGGTAAATATAGAAATATAAATGATATATAAATAAATTATATAAATAAGCTATATAAAATTATATAAATATATAAATTATATAAATTTTATTTAAATATAATAAGTTTTGTTAAATTTTTTTTCAATTTAATTTTAATGTAATCCTTAGATTACAAATAGAAATTCTTGAATTCTTTTATATAAATCAATTTAATTAAATTTTTAAAAAATTTTGATTTTGAATAGATCTTATTTAAATAAAATCGATTTAAAGCAAGAGGGCATTACTGAAGTATTTCTATAGTAACGCCATCGTTTGAGCATAATGGTAAACTTTGTCGTTCCTACTGTCTTATACATTTGATTTGGTCTGGCAGCTTACAATAATCAACTTCTACTTATATCTGTAATAATTGCTATAACATAAGTATTGTGAATATACTAACGGTGAGTTTATTGAACGTATAGTTAATTATAAAACTAAAATATTATATACTTTAACTATTTTTTCATATACCTTGTCTTTTTAACGCGTTCAGATTTAAAAGATGGGCGACACATGTAGATCGAATTATGATGTAACCAGTTTCAATAATCATTTATAAAAAATCAAGATTTGTATATAATTTCGTAAATAACTTTTTGTTACAGCATTATTAAAATGGCTACGATTGCACGTAATCTTCGCCCTTATTTAAAATACATTCGTAATCAACGAAGAACTTATGCCGATAAACCTATTAGCGATGAAATGAAATTTACTTTTGCTGGAGCTAATCAGGTAATAAATATAATGTTTGTATATATTATTATATATTATAAATTCGTAATTAACTATTATAGGTGTTTTATGATGAATCTGTAATTAAACAAGTAGATGTACCATCATTTTCTGGTTCTTTTGGTATTTTACCAAAACATGTTCCTACTTTAGCTGTATTAAAACCTGGTGTAGTCACAGTACATGAAGAAGATGGGTCAGTCAAAAAAATTTTTGTTTCTTCGGGTACAATTACTATAAATGAAAACAATAGTGTACAGGTATGTATTTAGTACAATTCTATTATCTAAATATAATAAATTATTAAGTAGTTTCTTACTTGTTATTAAAATATTATAAGAAAAAATATTGAATAGATTTTAGCAGAAGAAGCTCATCCTGTAGAAAATCTTGATAATTCAGCAGTTAGAGAACTTCTTAGTAAAGCTCAACAAGAACTTTCATCTGCGACAACTGAACAAGATAAAGCTGCAGCAGCAATTGCAATTGAAGTTTCAGAAGCTCTGGTGCAAGCTGTACAATAAACATTAATCAAGCATTGAGTATGTGTTAAAATATTATTCTTATGTAATTATTAAATTTTTTAGGATATATATCGTGTCATGTTATGTAAAAATATAGTAATATTAAAACAATTATTAAATTATATATATATACATATATGTATATATGTAACTGACCTCATCACACAAAATAATATGTAATGAAAAAAATAACAATATATAACTTTAATATAATATTTATTATTTATTAACAAAATTTTTTCAATTAAAGCAATTTTTTATATAAAATATAATTAGATATGTTATGTTTAACAAATACCTTTAACAACTTTGAAACTGAAAAATTGCTAATTTAATTTTTAAATAATTCAAAATTTATATTTGTCTAATATAAAATAACATACTTTGGTTTTAAATATCATAATATTATATTTACAAATATTTTTCACACTTTTTAAAATTCAAAACAATTGCTAAACAATAAATATTTTATTTTTTTAACTATTAATATTTTTAGTACATCACACACAATCACGCGCACAATCACAAATAATTAATACATTTTTTCTAATTTTCATATAAATTCATAAACATTGTTGAATTACAATGTAATATAAATTCAAATATCTTACAACTATTATGTATAAGAATGTTATATACATAGTATTTGTACATTAAAAATGTCATATTCATATACTTAATACATGAATATCAAATTTGGCATTAATTATCTTAAAATGATAATATGATAATCTTGCTAATATGATACAATAATACAATTCCTTTTTTTTTTTTTCTTATAAATAATTCAACAGTGATGTACATTTAAAAATTTTATAAGTAAAAAAATCTACAAATACATAATATTCACACACATGAAAATATATAACATTTAAAAATCGTATCTATATAAAGTCTTGAAATATAGTACAGGTATGTACAGTCCTATACTCTCAATTGTCCTAGACAAAATTTTAAAAAATTGACATTTATAAGAAAATATGCATTTTAAAGCTAAGCAAACCATTTTATACATTATGATAAATAACAAATTCTTATTCAATATTTATATAAAAATTTGTTTCTTTTAACATGACTAGTTACACAATAAAGTATTTGTTTCATTGGTTTTTTGTTAATTGACACTTCATTAATGGAGGTAACAATTCTTCTCTACAACATGTTACACTGTTAGTACTTTTACAACAATTACGACTAAATACTTTTTGCAATTGTTGCAGTGTTTTTAAACAAATCACAACACAACAAGACCCACAACCACCGGGCTCATTGTCACAAGAACATTCTTTTTGTAAACAAGACACGAAATCGTCTACCATTTTTGATGACACGTGCTTTTTATTATTTTCAGGAATTGTATTATTTGAGCAATTTTGACAATTTTGCTGATGATCACATTTACAATCAATACATTTGCATATATCTGCTTCAGCTGTAATTTTTTGCAGAATATTTCTATTCTTTTTTATTTTTATATTATCTTCGTTTTGCTTTTCATTATCGTTTTCTTGATAACGTCTAATTTCGATACACGTATTAGTATTTTCTACATCTACTAAATTTATATTATCTACTTGTTGTAATGGCTGTAATTGATTTTCAATCTGTAATGGATATGGTTCTGGTTCAACTAAATCAACTAGCGAGTGAACAGCTGTTGGAAATGCATTTAATTCTGACCAAGACTGTCTTCTCAATGCAGATGGAGTTGCCATTGCCATAACATCTATCCAAGGAGAAGGTATTTCTTCCTCAGATGCTATAGCTAATTCAATAGCTTCCGACTGCGTAGTTGTAATAACGTTAGAATTCAATACATGTTCAACTTCATTAAGAGATCCAGTTTGTAAACTGTCATTAATAAATGGTAAATTTTCTATCTCACTATCAAAAAGTTGAGTCTCATTAGAGGAACTAACTATATTTGATACATGACTAGTAACAGAATTTGTATCATACAAAGTGGCATTATTATTTTCAATAATCGTATTTGCATTTGTTCTGTTATCGTAAACTTTCTCGATAATAGTATTATCATTGTTATATTGTTGCACATTATTTGTGAAATCAGATTCTTCTGAAATATGAGCAATAGTGTTTTGTAAATCATTTTGTATAATTTTTTGCTCTAAATTTATTGAATTAGACTTATTTTTATTATTTTTCTTGCTATCTTGAACTTCTATCGAAGAATTAGAAATATATTGTTGACTTTGATCTCGTTGTAAATTTGAATCATTTACTTCATTAAATATTTTAAATTTATCATAACTTTCATTATTATTAAAGTTATCAATTGTGTGTTCGGTAAAATTATTTAAAATAATATTTTCTGATGTAAGAAGAGTGACATTTGTAGATTTATTTAAATTTTCAGTATTTTTATTAGTAATGTTGTAATCAAGTTCTTTATTTATTCTGTTTTGACTTAAAATATCTATTATCTCATTTGTAGAAGTTGATTCATCATTTGGATTTTCTATAGATAAATAAGTAATACTTTCCTTAGTTTGTCTATTGCTAGAAGATAATGGTATAATGGCATAACATGGCACATTTGTATTCTTTGACGTTATTTTATCAACGTCGATTTCTGTTTTCAATATCTCACTATTTCTTTGGTTTCTGTAATCATCTTGGTTGCCTTTATGTTTCTATAAAATATATTATGTATAAAATAATACAAGCATTTAAAAAAATATAATAAATCCAAAATTTTTTACATTACCGTTTCATCATTATTATTTGTTCTCTTATGAGTTTTCAAATGACTTTTTAGACTATGAGGTGTAGTAAAAGATCGTTTGCAATTTCCAATAGTACATACATAAGGTCGTTCTCCGGTATGAGTTCTCTTATGCGTTTTCAAATGATGCGACGCTGTAAAAGCTTTACCACATCCTTTTTCTCGACATCTAAAAAACACAATATACTTTTTTATATCCATTATATGTATTATATATAATTCATTGTGCATAATTGATTTGATGACATAAAAAGAACTGTAAAAATTGGATAGTATATTTTTTAAATATATTTATTTATAAAGTATTAGTTTCAATGTTAATATTATACACCAAGAATTCAATAATGATTATATTTATTTTTTATTGTTAAATTTATGTATATACATATATTCTTTATGTTTATGTATATTTTCTATCTATTTAAAATATACATATATTATTATTATATATTATGTTTTTAAAATAAGGAAAATAAATAAAATACCAAAGCACAATTAAGCACAAAGCTGTGAATAAAAATCAATTAAAAAAATATCAAAAAAACATACTTGTAAGGTCTTTCTTGAGTATGAGTACGAATATGTTTCTTGAGATCACTTAAAGTAGTGAAGAATTTAACACATCCAGTCTCTTCACAATTAAAGGTGTTACCACTGTGTAGTCTTTGGTGAGCTCTCAGTCTGTAAAGAGTATTGAATGCTTTTTCACAGCCTTTGTGATTGCATTCAAATGGTTTCACTTTTGTATGTACTCTAATATGAATCTTAAGACTGTATGATGTAAGAAATGCCTTGCCACAACTTGGTTCTGCACATTTAAATCGATACTCGCCTGAAAGTTTTGAGAATTCCCTCCACATAAAAAGTTTGCTGGACTACCTATTGCTTGCAGTATCTGAAAGCCATGCAGGTCGAAGCGTTCCCTTTATACCAGCATTGATAATTTTATAACAAATAAAAGTATACATAAAAAATTTATAAGGCATCAACAGACTTTATATATTCTTATATATTAATAACAAGAAATGTAACACCAATTAATAATATTTCATAAGCTTACCTTATTTTCCTTAGGCTTAGCAAGCACAAAGAAAGAAAAAGAAATTAATATAATACATTACATTATAATGTAACATGCAAAGCACATATCTTTACTTCATGATACAAATAAAATACTAATAATTGTTAAAATTTATTAAAATCATTAATATTAATATTTTTTATTAAATATTAAATTATTATAAATAATTGTAAAAACAAAATTGTTAGTATGCTATTTATTTTTAATTATAATTAAAGCACTTTACATATTAGTAACATAAAAGCATTCAATATTTTTTATTAATATAAAATTAATAAAATTAATATTCTATGATAGATAAAATTCATGAAAAGTTTATATTTGCCTTTTATAAATTAAAATACATATAAAATCTTTTCTTACCTTTATGTGTTTTCATGTGAGTACGTAGATTTCCAACTGTACTATAAGTTCTATTACAACCTTCATATTCACAAGTATATCGACCAATATGTTTTTGATTTATATCCAAAACTGTACTTTCAATTATATTATTTGCATATGCAGATTTGTTTGAAATATCATCTTGATCAGAATGAATTCGCATATAAATTTCATGAGGACTAATTGAATGATGTATTGACCTATAATAATATATGATATATGCATATATATATATTTATTATAAAATATCAAGATAGATAAAGTTATTGAAATGTTTTATTATGTTATATCAATATAATTATTGAATATAATAATGATAAAAAGATATTCTGAATTAAAATTTAAAAAAAAATCACATATATTAAATATAGAATTAAATTTAAATTAAATGATATATTTGATAAAAATATAAATATGATATTAGTATTTAATGATCGTGTATATATGAAAAATGTAATATTGAAAATTAAAAATCTAACTTCAAAATGTTATATCCTTATAAGGATGTCACATAATTCTTTACTATTACAAATAGACAGGTTATGAATAATTTATATTTTATTTATTGATTTCTCATTTTTCATATATATTTAATACATAAGAAATTTATATCATGTCTAATAAAAAAAATAAAAAATTTATGTGATCTTACTCGGTGGAATTATCATTAGATAGTTTTTCTTCGATAGGAGCATCGTCATCGGAATATTTTTCATAATCAAATACAGTATTTTGTTCATACACTTTTCCAAAACTAGTTATATCTAAACTATCATCTAAACAATCTTGAAGATCATGCGTCACAAGGATATCAAAATTTTCTTCAATATCATCGGCATTCCCGATTTCTTGAAATTTTTCACCTTCCCACGTCGCCATACTTTTTTAAGCTGTACAAACAAATCATGAAATAAGGTTAAAATAGATGCGTCACTAGAAATACTATACTAATTTTTCGATGTTATTTAATCGGTATATCACAGACAAGATACAGAATAGATCTAACATTCAATATATTTTTTTGTTTTCATGCTTCTCTCAGGAGTCCCTTATCATTTTAGTATCATTCTCAACGTTACCGATTCAGCTACGAAGAAGATTACAATAATGGTTGGAACTCAAATTAAATGTAGATATTATAAATAAAAAATAAATCATTAATTGCATATTTTAAAGATGCCTTAAAAATTAAAAAATAGATTTAATAAATAAATATTTAATAACTTAATTTTGAATAAAATGTTTTAAAATTCATTCTTGTTTTTTTTGTTGATTTGTTATTAGTATAGCAGAATATACAAGGAGATATTCAAAGAATAACTAAACAGATAAGAAAAGCAATATTATACGAAAAGGATAAAAAATTGCTGTGTAAAAAAAAATGCCACGGAAAATTAATTAATACAAACATTATTTATGTTTTTTAATAAAAATTTTTACATTTTTAAATTTAAATTTTTTTATTTATATTTTGAGACTAAAGTTTTAGATAAATTTCTCATATTAATTTTAATATAAGATTCTTTTTAATTAATTATTTATTAATGATTATTAAATCAACATCAATGATATATTTTCTATTTATTTTTCATTACTATATAATTTATTTCTAAATATGATTAAATTTGTTATATGCATTTGAAATATTAATTCTTTCTTTATTTTTTTCTTTTTTTTATAAATAAATTTTATTTATAATTATATGATTTAAATGAATAAACTGATCGATTATTATTGCATTATGGAACTTTGCGATATATTCTATAATAATTATTAATAAATAATTAATAGAAAAGAATTTTATATTATAAAATTTTTATGAAAAACTTGCCTGAAGTTTTAGTTTCAAAATATAAGTTTAAAAGTTATTCAAAAATTCCGAAATTTTGAATAGAAAACGAATAATTAATAAATTTTTTATATAACATCTTCAAAATGACAGAATATGTTCTCTATTTTTTTCGCATAATATTGCTTTTGTTATCTGTAACCTTGAATACCTCCTTGCACATTCTGCTATGCTAATAACATACAAACTTCAAATGTCCAAATAATAATATGGCGCTGATTTCGAAAACTTTTCTATTGACTCATTTTTCGGCAAAATTTCTGCTTTTTTAAAAATAACATAAAATATAGCAACTTATTTATGATAATGTGAATATGTATAATTTTTGGAGATAACATTAATTTCAATAAAAATTTTATCTTTTTTTTTCCTATTTTTTTTGTACTTGCTCTATAAAATT